TCACTAAGTGTGTTCTAGTATTTGTCCTTGGAGTTTCACCTCAGGCACTCCATCTACTCATCACTTTCACAAAGTGGGTGCCCCATGGACTTATGGAGGTACTCAGTTTATGAAGGGGGCAAGAAGCCTCTACTGTTAGATCTCTAGCAGGACAAAACAACCCACCCCCCATAGCCAAGGATGATGAAGAAAAAGGATACAGACATATACACATAGCAGGATGAAACAAAGACACAGACACATACATGCAGACACACTAGCAGACACACACACACACACACACACACACACACACACACACACACACACACACACACACAATTTGAATTACTTGAAACTTTAGCTGTACTGTCACTTTTGGAAAAAAGTATCCCAGTTAACTGTGTTGAGTTGCATTGTACAGAAATTAACAGCCATATTGGTCTAAAAACATCAAACTTAACTTTTTTCCATATGCATGGGTTTGGTAACAGAAACTGAGAAAGTGTTCACTGAACACCACCACCACCATACAGACTATACAGCTTGGGTTCTGCCTGCCAACAGGAAGCAGATGAACTCCTAACATGCATCCTGGGATGCTCAGACTAGAAAGGCAGTGGCTCTGTGGTCCACACCAGCATGTTCACCACTTACATAGCTTCCTTTCCTTTCCAACATTCCATCTCGTTCCTAAATATGTGGAAGGAAGCTGGGGAGAAATGACAAAACTTTCCACATTGTAACCTGAAGAATTCAAAGATGGTGAGTACACACGTCCCTGCACTCCTAGACCACTCTAGGGAAACCAGGAATGTTAAATATGTAGGGCTGTTTTTTTTTCAAGGGAAAATATGTATAACGTGTTTTTCCACCCAGAAGGCTTGGAATGGAGGTGATTGATCAATTGCCTGATGATTTGCATTATCTGTAAGCCAGGCCATACCTGTCCCCACAAGGCAGCTAATTGTGACCAGAGGCTCCCTCAAGCACCCCACAACTAGGACCAGAAATATTTAACAGTCTAGGTGACTTTTGTATAACTGTATATCCGGGGTGGGAGTGAGAGGTCCGTAAGCTCCCACAACTAGGATCAGAGGTAGCTAACAGTCAAAATGACCTCTATACTATCTGCATGACTGAGATCCTTCCCTAAGCCCTAATACATGTAGCCTATCTCTAGAACCTATCTTCTTGGAGGAAGTGGCACGGACTGAGTTTCAATGTAATTGTGTCTCCTTGTGCTCAGGGGATTGTATTACACCAGGAACACCCCCCCCCCAAATTTACTGTGCTTAAATATGCTGAACTGTATGTCCTTCTCGCCTCTAGCAGATCAATACTCTGCTGGCCCTGGTGGTTGCAGAGCCCCACAGAAGTTCAATTGATAACTGGGGGGACCAAAGGTGAAAATTACATGTGGGTGACATTATAATAGGAAAAGGAGGCATGTATTTACCTGTGATGGGCTGCTGTTCCAGTGCACGCTGCAGCTCCCGGGAGGAGGCATGGCCCATCTGAAAATGAGATGCTTTTAATCCTCTGAGGCACTCTATAAGTAGTTGTTAAAAGAATGGCAGATCTGGAGGCAAATAAAGGACACTGCTTGGCTTAGTCCTGGCTTACAGGCAACTTAGTCTGAAGCTGGTTTTGGCACTTCCAGGGACTATTTGGGAGGCAGTTTTCTTAAAGACTTGGAAGTGAGTGTGGGTGAATTCAAGGAGGGTCAAGGACTGGACATAGAACATTGACAAAATAGTCTCAGCTGCCATTCTAATGTCCTCTCAACAGACAGAACTAGCCATTGGAGGAAAGCCCAAGTTCACTGGAACAAGACTTGAAAGTGAAAGGTTTTGGTGTGAAGCCAGCAGCACTTTCCTGTCCTTTGAAAATAAGAATGACAAGAGTAATTCCAGTTGTAAGTGGAGGGAGAACATTCTCCATGCATTCTGTTGCTTCTCCCTTTGCACATGGTAGAACATTGTGTTCTTAGAAAAAAAATGAACCAAAGACCAGTAAATGCTGCACATATTTATGGGTAAATTCAGGACAGGGAACAGTCCAGAACAGGGAAAGCAGCTCAAGGGCCATTCCTGAAGTGCTCAATGTCTTCTGGAAGGAAAAGGGGGCTATCCTGAGGGTTTCTGACATTTGTGGGGGGCTAGAGTCAACCTTGTGCTGGCTTAGACCCTCATGGCCTCTCAAGACCAGCAGCCATCATCACACTTCACCCAGGCACCTCAGGTCCTGTGCTGGTTTTGAGCCAGCCATGGGTTCTTGATCAAGGCTGAGTGAACATGCAAATCAGAAAGGGGCTGGCTCCCCTTTCCATCGTGGCTGACCAGGCAGAGCTCTGGTGTGAACTCTGTTCCAATTGATATAGAAGGTAGAGTAAGTGTTAGGAAAAGGAAGAAAAACAAAAACAAAAACAAAAACAAAAGTCTAAAAAACAACCTATCACAAATACTTTATAACTATTTGCATTTTCAAACATATAACAAACAAATCAATCAACATCAGCACCGGGTAGATCAGTGACAATGATGAAAGCAGTTTGCCTAGAGTCATTTGTACAACTTGGGGATTATGGAGATGAACTGGAACAAAATGGTACTCAATGACAAGAAATACAAGGAGCCTTTCCCCACCAACAGTTCATCTTTTCTTCCATTTGCCACTTATGAAGACACTTGTGTTGTGCTCTAGATTTTCTGACCAGTCCAGTTATATGCTGAAATAGTGATTATAAGGCCCCAGTGAGTTACAATTCTGGCCACTGGGGAGACAGCTACAGATAATGCAACCCCCACCTGTACAGAGACTCTTCTGCTTTGCATCAGGGATGAATTCAAAAGACCCTTTGATGAGTGTCCAAGGAGAGTCAAAATGATCCAACAGCCCTTGGTCAGGGCCAGCAGTGACCTCACAGATGTTACTCTGTTAAGATTTCAAGCACACCACAGAAGCTATCTGTTTTGCTGTCTCCTAACCTCAGGGAATGCAGGGCTAGACAAACGCTGGAAAGAATTATAATTCTGATTACATGTTATTTCTGTATTTTCATTTCCCATGAGACAGTTGCCCAATTTAAGAGTCAAGTGGTCACTAATGATACCACCTTATAAAGCAGAAACTGACACAAGGTACAACAGACACTAGGATTTAACACAGCATCTCTGCCACACTTAATTAGTAGTGAGGATCACTTTCTATTACATGTCAAAGAAAACTATTAACACAGTTTCTTCTGGCAGAATGGAGCTCTTGCCCTTCTCAAAGATAAACCAATCAGTAGATGGTGCTATAACAAAAGCTATGAAAAAACAAAAAAACAAACAAACAAAAAACAACAACAAAAAAAACCCCACAAACAAAAACCTACCACCAAAACCAAAAAAAAAAAAACAAAAACAAAAACAAAAACAAAAAAACCAAAAAAACAAAAAACAAAAAACCAAGCCACTGGTTCGGTCCCCCCAGAGACTGGCCTGGAGTCCCTCACCAGAGCCAGGCTAGAGGTCCATATCTGGCAGCATGTGGCTGATCCAACAGGAACCAGTGTCCAGACTCCAGCAAGATCATCAGCCTCGAAGGAGCTTGAATGCGGTTCACACTTCCTCTTGCCCTTCACACTTTCCCCAGTGGTCTGATTTCCTCACAGGAAGAGAGAATACACCTTGCAGGGAAACCCTTTCTGCTTAATACTCATTGTGCTGATGTCATGGCTTCCGGGGTCTTCAAGTATTGAGCATTTCAATGCTCAAAACCCGCTTCAGTTTTATATGCAGCTTTGCACACACTATTGGAAGGTAACTTGGTGCACAGAAGTGAGTAAAATTTCCTTAGGAAATAACTGGCGGTGGGGGGGGTTCCCTACTTAAGAGCATGGAGACTTACCAGTAGGTCTGTCCCTCTCTTGTCCCTTCACATGGATGCAACAGAAGACACTTCCCCTCTCCATGCACTATGTACCCCAAGTTCCCACAGGGAACTTAGGTCTCCACAGTTCTTCATATGCAGTGTATGCACGGTGTCTCAGTGACAGAAGGGACAGAGCTGCAAGCACTGGAGGACCTGGGGATGCACAAACACATCATCTCTGTCTTGTTGCTTCCTCCCACATCTTTCTGCTGGTCCTGGTGGGTGGCTGCCTCTGGTGTCACCAAGGAGTCCACAGGAACTCACTGACTGTTGGCCATCCACCACAGGCTCGGTCCCCTCTGTAAGAACCACACTGTGGTCCAGGCCTCTTCCACAAAGGTGACAAGTGAACTCTGCCCAAAGTGGGGAATGAATTGAACGAATGAATAGAATGAATGAATTGGAAAGCTAGCTCAGCTTGACAGGAAATAAGATACTGGTGGATAACCTAGACACTTGTGTGGCTTCTCTCACCCATGATGTGATGGGAAGGAAGGGCTAGAGAATGAGGCAGGATCAGGGCCAATTCCAGTCCAACAGAGGGTCTCTTGTTACAGTTCAGGAATCCAGCTCCTTCAGTACTGGGTCCAGCACTGCTACTGGAGTGAGCTAACCCTTCTTCTGTGGCCTCCGTCAGCGATCTGGGCTAGCCCAATACTACTCAGGGCAGACCTGAAGGGAGACAGATAGAAATGGAAGCCACCTGCCTTCCACACACAGCTCTTGATTTGCACAGTTACAATAAAAAGTACATTAATCTGTTCACAGCTCCTGGAAGAACTGAAAGCCAACTTGGTTCTGCAGGAGCAGACACTTCCCATGGGCTCTCCCCCTATGCAATCTCCATCTATTCCCCTTTCAGTGTCTACACTGCATAATAACAATAAAAGGAAAAGGATACCACCAGCTGTGTATATGGCTTACCAGAAGGTCAATTTCACTACCTCATTCTCTGCAGCTGAACTTGTGGAATATTAAGGAAACACACAAACTGCAATCCATGATGTTGGTTAATCTCGACCTTGTATCTATCCCTTCCAATCACAAGCTGGTATGACAGTCTATAAGACACACCTGGGTGCTGAGACAAAGCAGATGGATCCAGTGCTTGTAAATTTCATATTTATTATAACAAAAATTATGACATGTTCATTTGTGCATTCTGCTTCAATATAACTCCAATGTGTAGATGGTCTAAGGTATGCTATACAGTCATGCTGATTGTGGCAGCAGTAAGGAACACAATTAAAAAGTGTCTGCAGAAGGTTCTGGGGTCTGAAGAGCAGGCTCTTGTCCAGCAACCTCAGAACCACATTATCTACACAGAAACACGCTGACCAAATGGCCCACACTGAAGATGAGCGAGGTGGGGGCAGGACAGGGAGGCTCTTCAGAGGGGCAGGAAATCAGTGACTTAGGCTGTGTCCTTACGCCAAGACTACAAACACTTTAAGCCTCACTATGCAACACTGAGCTATTTACAATAGAAATTTCTCAATCAACTGTTCTCTCAGAGAAAATTAGTGAATCCCAGTGACTTAAGTCACCTGACAGAGTAAAGCAACTCCTAGGAGTTAGTCTCCATATTCTACAAATGTCTATCATTTTCAAGACAAAAAAAAAAGCCTTTCCCCACAAAGAAATACACAATTACAATATTATTAAGTCATTTAGCAATGGCAACTTGCCCTGCCTTCCAAATAAACAAAACAACAAAAAGCAATTTTTAAAAATTACATTATCATTAATTGTTTCTCTGTAATATATTAAACCTTTTGTTCTTTGTCTTTACACATTTGATATGTTAGGGAAAAGAGTTAACAAATTTAAATCATATTGTTAAAGTATCACTAGAAGAAAAGTGGTAATTATTAAAAGTAACCAATACAAAGAGAACCTACAAGATGAGCTGCAGAGACAGATGGGGCAGTGTCTGGGAGAAGGGCATGGAGTAACACCCCTGGTTTAATGTGAGCCTGGGAGACTCTCTCAGTCTTTCTGGTTAGTTTATTGTTTAAAACAGTACTCAAACTGGGTCATAGTGGTGTATCGTAACAGTCTGGCAGGTGGTCCATCTGGAACTGCCGCTGCGGTTGCGGCTGCGGCTGCAGCTGAGGCTGTGACTGTGGCTGTGGCTGGGATGGTGGTGGTGGCACCTGCTGCTGTTGCTGCTGCTGCTGCTGCTGCTGCTGCTCCTGGTGATGTTTCATGATTTCTTTGACTTCTTCTTCCAGCTCTGGGGGTATGATAAACTGATCATCCGGATCTGGCTGAGCTGGGGCTGCAAAATAGCCTCCCGGCTTTCGGAGAGGTGCATCTGTGGCAACCTCTATCACGTTGTGGCTCCTTTCCTGGGGTGCTACAGAACCATTAGCCCTGCGTCGCCCAATGGTCCCCACAGCAGAAAAGTCTGCCTTCTTGGACAAACCTGCCTCATCCTCGTTGGCACTGATGACAATGCCCTCATCGCTGGCCTCAGCTGGCACCTGAAGCAGGTGCTGTTGTCTCTCCTTCTCCTTGGCCCGGCTGCAATGGATGTCCACTTCCACCTCTACCCGGCTGCCATTGCTGAAGACACCCTCAATGGGTTCTTCATCATCACTGTCAAGGCCGTTGTCAGAGAAGGCGCTGGAGAAAGTGGCGCTGGACAGCTGACGCTGGAAGGAGTTAGACAAGCAGACTGGGTGGAGCATACAGCGCTGCTCACTGGGGTATGCAGGGCTGTTCTCATTCAGGACTCCAGACGGGGGCTCATCAGAGGCTGTGGAGCCCACCTCACTGCTCATCTCCGAGGTGGATAGTTCACTGCTGATCTCAGATGCCATGCCACTGCTGGAGGACGGTACTCCCAGTCCATCTGAGGGCCTGTCCTTTATCACCATGTTGACAGAGGGTGGGAAGATGCCTGGACTAGGTGGTGGCATGCTTCCTCCAGCACTGAGCTCACAGCAGCAGAAGCTGTCTTCAGTGACACTAAGCTGCACTACCACAGCACTTATGCTGTCATGGCAGCCATAGCTCTGGGCCAGGGTGCATAGCTTCTTGGCAGCGGCCAGAGCATCTGGCACATTGCGCACGGCCTCCACAGCCTCCTCAATGGACAGGCTGTCCCACAGCCCCTTACTGCCCAGAATGAAAAACTCATCCTGTGGAGTCAGAAGCACGGACTGCACGTGGGGGCGAGGCACCACATTGGGGTGGAGGAAGGTATAGCCCAGGATGCGTGTGGACTCTGTCACTCCATTCACCTTGCCATCCTGGAAGAATTTCCAAAGAGACAGTGAGCACAGAGCACATGTGGCTACTGGAGCAGCCTCCCTCTGGGTCACTGACTAGGCCACAGGGCAGTGTTGCAGGAAGTGTTGGGCATCCCAGGGAAGGGGCTCTATATGGAGAGGTTAAAGTACAGATCTGAGCTTGTAAGGAGCCCTCGGGGAGAAAGGAAACATTCCAGCCATTCCTTTAACAGGGACCATCTTTATACTACATGGCAAGACCTATCTCTTCCTGACAAGGTGATGTCCAGCCTCACATGGCACGCATGCTCACTAGCTTCTAAAGAGGTAAGCCATCCAGAGAAACACCTGAGGACAGGATGGATCAACCTCATGCCTCTGTCCACTGATACTGCCAGCACGTGGAAAGGTGAGTCTTGTGTGGCCCCCAGACATTTGTAACTGGGTCACAAATCTCCTAAGTTTGGAGAGGTGATGCTAAAAGAAGTACCCATTCATTTTGTTTTGTTTTGAGACACGGTTTCTCTGTGTAACCCTGACTGTCCTGGAACTTTCCCTGTAGACCAGGCTGGTCTCAAACTCAGAGATATGCCTGCCTTTGCCTCCCTCCCAAGTGCTAGGATTAAAGGTGTGCTCCACCACTGCCCAGCAGGAGTAACCATTTTTATGATTTCCTTGAACCCAACTTCCAGGGACAAAAGCAGACAGTAAAGAGTCCTCCCTCTCTGAGTTCAGGTGGCTCATGCTGTTTAGACCAGCAGCCAAATCCAGGCCATTTGCCTGGGTAAAAGATGAGTACTTTTAAATCCTAGCTACATACAGCAGCTGGGTTCTCTACCTTCCAGATTTGAGGGTCTTAGGCTTATAGCCATGTCCACCCCACATTTCTAACACTTCCTCCCACAGAAAATTCCACAACGACAAATGCAATTTTTGTGAGTCTCTGGATGAGCCAGTTTTTGTCAGAGCCCATGTCTTTCATTCCATGCCTGCCTCACTTGGGCTCTCCTGCCATTCAGCCCCACCGCCTGCCTCCACCTGGGCTTTACAAGTGTTTGCTTGTTCCTGGGTACCTTTCCCCACGAACATGACCTCAGCAGCCATGCCTAAAAGAAAGTGGCAGTCTAGGAACTAAGAGGAATAAAACAGGCTTTCAAGTAGTTTGAGACTCCCTTAACTCTAGGAATAAAATCTGTTCCTGCCTGGTGTGGGATCTGGCAAGAAGGCCCTTGCTGCTCTAGCCACTCTTAAGGTTTCTCATCAGCCTGTGCTTTGAGGGCATCTTCAGGATACAGAAGCAATGAAGTCAAAATCCTCATTGTTGAAGTCTCAGTGGAGCAGACAAAAGTGAGGAAGAGACGCAGCAGAGAAAAGGAGAGAGCACGGCTGACCTGCAAACTGAGTGAGTCATGCAGCAGACATCTTACTCTTCAGTGCTGTCATGTAACACTGGCCACTTCGTGCACTATATTCTGTAAAACACACACTCTGCTCCCTAACTTGTGTTCACCATCCACTTTAATGCTCAGTGGCTGGAGCAGACAGGAATGAAATTTATACATGTCTCACTTCCATGGTCTCACGGCATACTGCTGTCTTTCCTGGGTAACAACACCACCTCCTTTTCTCTTCTGGACACTAGCCTTCACCCCTCAACCCCAAACTATGAATTGTTCCAAGAGTTTGATCACTAAGAGGAGGGAGGTCAGGTTCTTCTGGACAGATGTATATCTCTGGGTATTTCCAAGCTAATGGTGCGTGACCAGCATGCTGGTGAATTAGTAAACAAAAGAACCACAGAGGCTACTTTGGAAGTTTCCCTGACAGTGAATCATGATGCACTGTCTTTCTAGGTTTTGTCCCAGCAATACAATTGTCATTTGGGACCAGATAAGTCTTTGTTGTGGGACTGTACCCACATTGTAAGTCGTTTAGCCACAGGTGTAGCTGCTACTCTCTATGTGGCAGTGGTACCCAAGCTTCAATGATCCAATGCATCTCTAGGCCTTGCACTTGGCCTCCTGCCCCCTGAGAACTGCATTACTCAACTGGCAAAAGAGAAACACTTAAACTGGAGCAGACACTACAGTCTTTGTGAAGTAAGGCAGGTATCTATGGCTCCCACTTTGCACATAAGAAAACAAAGACTTATGAGGGTTGAGAGGTCATATCCTGCAAGTGGTCAAGCTGGGAGATGAAACCAGCAGTGTGATTTCAACCACCAGCCAGTAAGTGCCTTCAGAGATCCACTGGGACAGTACTCATGAAGCATTTCTGCTTCCATGGCAACCAACCAACACCTTATTATTCTACAATAAATTATAGGGACATTCTACATAACCTACAGACAGCACCAAGGAATTTACTCTGTAATACCGTGGATTTGGAAATTCTAATTTCGAACATCAAGAGCTTCCTCTGAAAACAAATGCTTCCTGAGGAACCTCCACCAGGGGGCGCTGCCCCCTTGCTCTCTGAGGAAAAGCTCCTTACCTCAGTGATGATGGCCTTGTGCTGCTTAATTCTTATCAGCTCTTCTTCACAGCTCATGGTGTATGATCGGGACAGAGGCAGTGGCTTCCCATTTCGACAGAGAACCGTTTGGCACTTGCCAACATTAGCAGAGGTCAAGGTAAAGGATCCTCCCAGGTCCACAGGGTCATGCTTGATGTGGCACAAGACAGCTGCACCACCAAGTTTCTGCCCAGCAGTTCCCAGCTTCCTGAACCCAAAGAGAAGGGTGAACATTCAATGCTTCAGGACATTATGTTCATCCAAAAACAAAACAAAACAAACAAACAAGAACAAAAAAGATGACACCAGTGCACAGAGCTAGCGATTAGGACTCAGCCCTTCCCACCAAACCCACTCACTCGGTTTCTCAGAAGAAAAAAGTCCCTGGAATCTAATCCCCACACATTCACATAGAGAAGTGCTCATATGTGGGGGGAAGTGTCACCTTTTGCTCAAAGCCACATTGCTAGTCCTGGCCTGCGGTGTCCAGCCCGCTGCCCGGTGTCAGTTAAAATGGCTCAGCAGTACATTCTAAAACATCAAGAAAGTTCTGCTTCTCTCCCATCCACTTCTCCAAATCCTCTCTGTTCCCACAAAACCAGGATAGGTGCAAACACAGGATGTCCATGCCAGCACTGAAGACTAACCCTAACCACCATCCTTCTGATTCTCATTGGTCTGTTCTTGCCCTGTGCAGCCAAAACTTGAGATCAGTGCTCTTTATTCTATAAAACGTATAGGAACAGCATTCTGGTATCAATCACCAAATGTTTTTGCTTTGTCCTTTCGTTTGTTCATCAACCCATATACTTATTGAATATTTGAAGCATCTACAAATACTGACCACCATAAAGAACAAGGAACTCTGATCAATGTCCCACCAATGTCATTCCTCCAAACCTCCCTTAAAGAGCCTTGACAATTAAAACAAAACAAAGCAGAAAGCTATCACTCTTACCTAATGAAGACAGGAAAGACCCTGAATCACTAAGTTAAACAACTGGGAATGGCCTAGCCACAAGCATTTGACAACTAGGCACAAGGCAGTTACTATAAAAACAGTAACTCTAAAAACTGATGCGCTCATTGGTTCTATACTTGTTAACACCGCAGGCCAGGACTAGCAATGTGGCTTTGAGCAAAAGGTGACACTTCCCCCCACATATGAGCACTTCTCTATGTGAATGTGTGGGGATTAGATTCCAGGGACTTTTTTCTTCTGAGAAACCGAGTGAGTGGGTTTGGTGGGAAGGGCTGAGTCCTAATAGACCCTGCAAGTGGGCCTAGTATACAGATTCCTAAATTCTGGCTTCTAGACCATGACCAGATCTGACTGGTACATACTTTTAAGACAGCATTACTTTCAAATACACAAAGACTCCTAAGAAGGGGCTTTTGTAACCAGAGTCTGCTGGAGGATTATGTGTAGTGCGTGTATATGTGTGTGTACATGGTATGTGTTGTATATGTGTGACAAATGTGTGAAAAATTCTTTGAATGAAGGAGTCCTTACAACATTTATCCCTAAGAGTTCTTGCAGCGACAGGAAGCTCTGGTGCAGGTGTAACAGGTAGCAGCCTAGGAGTCTGAACACTTGCTTTCCCACTGAATAAGAGAGAAGAGGGTAACATATAAAGACTACTCTAAAACTAGCTTTAAATTTGACCTGCTCGGTTTCAAACCAGTGAAAGCATTTCCTATTGGTCAACAAACTGGGACAGCAATGGTTCATTCTGAGAGCGGTCTAAGGAGTCTGTGGTTTGGGGGAGGCTGGGTGCTTTAAATGATGAAAACATGGAACCAGTGGAGGCCAGTAAAGTCTCCTCTCTGAGAAATGAGTGACTTAAGAATAAATATCAATACAAATCAAACTGAAGCATAGTTGATCCCTTGCCTGAATATAGCTACAGCAGTCAGCCAAAAGGACACCAGATTGCTGCACAGACTTTTCTAACAAGAGCAAGATAGCAGACCCAGCAACAAAAACTATAATCCAGCACACAGGAAGCTGGACCAGCAGGGTCCGAAGTGTAGGACCAGCCTGGCTATACAGTGAGACTATGTATCAGAATAAACAAATAGTAAATAAAATAAAAAGAACTACAAGAAATCCTTTACCTTTGCATGACTATAAACGTATTGACCATGTATTCGTCTTCGTTTTTCGTTTTCTGAAGCTCTTCAGCCAAAATGTCACTCATGGTGCATTGGAGAAGGTAGGGTACCTCCACATTCCGGTCTCCATCAAACACACCATAAAGGGCCTCCCGGTTGTCACGGAAGTTATTCACAGACAGCGCTGCAACACATAGCCTGTGGAGTAAGAATACTTCTGTGATGAGCCCATTCATCTTGTCTTCTCTCTGCCCAACTCAATTCCACCTCCCTTTTTAACAGAATGCTCTGGTTTTTCTCTTCTTGCCTTCAGAAATATTTGGGTTAACAGATCCCAGATGGTTTATATCAACTGATTGCTGCTTGCCTTCTCTCATGCTTCTCTTCTGATTTTAGTAGTTTTAAAATTACTCATTTTTAAATTTTACATGTGTGAATGTTTTGACTGCATGTATGTATGTGTTCCATGTGTATGTCTACTACCTGTGGAGTCCAGAGGAGTGCAATTAAACTGGAATTACAGGTGGTCATAGGCTGCTATGTGGGCACTACAATTAAACCCAGGTCCTCTGCAACACTCTCAACTGTGGAATAATATCTTTAGATGCTATCTTTTAATTTTTAAAAGACTCTCTTTTAATTGTGTGTGTGTGTGTAGGGGGGTCTTGAGTGTGTGTGTGCACGTGAGTGCAGATGCCTACAAGGCTAGAGGCATCAATCCCCCTTAAATTGCAGTTGTAGGCAGCCTGGGTGTCCTGACATGGGTCCTGGAAGCCCAAGTGGGAACTGAGCCTGAATCATCTGCAAGAGGGATTAATGTACTCTTAACTGCTGAGCCATCTTTCCAGCTCCAATTACATTTTTAATGGCAATGAAAAATGGAGAGTAAGAGGAACGAAGGACAGGGTTAGAACATAACTTCCTATCCACACATGCATACAATAAATAGTTATTAAGGAGAACCTCCATATCAAAAGAGAATAACAAATGAAACATGGGGAGGGGATGAAGGATGTGAAATGTCTGAAAACAGAAAAGATCAGCATTCAGCCAGTGGTGCTGGCCCTACGTATTTCTTGGAAAAGCACTGGAGCTGCAGGAAGAAAACACAGTGTTGGCTGTGGAGGACAAGAAGGAAGGGTCTGTCTCCAAAAGGAAACCAAGAAGCCAGGCACAACAGCACATACACATGATCCTAACACTTGAAAGGCTGAAGTCAGAGAGTCAAAAGTTCAAGGCCAGCCTGAGCTACATGGTTAAGATCCCACCAACACACCCCTAAGGAGAAAGAGGATATGGAAGGAGAGTGGTGGGATAATGTCCCAGCATAATGCATGGGAATGAGGGTTTGAAAAGAAGACAAGCATAAGAACTTTATAATTTATACCTATAATGTCAAACTCAATGAAAAGTACAAATCTATGGTTATAATAGGCTCAACAAACTACTAGTAAGAGAAACAGGTGGAAAAAAAACTTAACTGAAGCACAATAAAACTGCTAAATACCAGAATGAAGGCTGGAGGGTGGGGTGGGGTGGGGTGGAGTGGGGTGCAAAGCCAGAATTGCAGCAGACTCCTTGTGGCAAAAAAAGCAGATGACTGCAGAACAGCATCTTTCAAGAACTAAGTAGAAAGCAGTCTAGATTCCCAAACCAGTGAAAAGCTGTTGTGGAATCATTTTTTTGTACACTGTGAAGCAGTGTCACTCGGAATGGCTTAATAAAAAGCTGATTGGCCAACAGCTGGCAGGATTTTTTGGGGGGGCAGAGCAAACACTGGGAAAAAGAAAGCCGAGTCACCAGCCAGATGGAAAGGAAGCAACATGGGGAATACAGACTAAAGTGCTGAGCCACATAAAAGAAGGCAGATTAAAAGATAGGTTAATTTAAGTTGTAAGAACTAGTTAGTAATAAGCCTAAGTTATGGCTGAGCTATTATAATTAATAAATCTCTATGTCATGTTTTGGGAGCTGGCAGGAGAGACAGAAAAATTCACCTACATGCGGTACACAATGCCTGGCCACCATAAGACCCGAGAATGCTTAAAAGAAGGTTCTAAACACACAAAAATGGAGCCAAACACAGCTTCCTTCTCAAGTCTCTCATGTGGGCCGCAGTACAGAGACATCTCCAGGCAGGTGCCAGTGTGTTTGAGCCGACAGTGTAGCATGAGTTAAGCCACAAGGTGAGTTTCAGATTTTGGTCATGCAGACAGAAGAGGCTACAGATACTTAGTAAAGCAGGTTCAGATGGAAAAAATAACCTCTAAATAGGTTATAGTATGTTTACTAATGTGCGTAGGCTTAAGAAAAATGGGTATAGACAGTCATTGAAGGAAACAGTTTAACAATATAAGGTCTTCAAAGAAAAAGGTAAAGTAATAAAAAAATAATCCACTTAAGGATGAAAAATACACAGGGTGTCTGGATCCTATATAGTGTCTTGCAAACTTTGAATTTTAAGTGCAAATGTATAAAAATCAATAGCTGCTGAGAGTCACTGGATTATGGAAACTGCTAAATTAAACCAACCTATATATTTTAAAAATGTCTTAACTTCAAAATGGAAGTTGGACAGTGTTGTGTTGGGGGAGAGGTTATGCTTTTGTTTCCACAGTAAACAAAAGGCTGTGGATTCTTTCTAGGTTAACAGAGATCAGATATGACCAGGGGAGATCTCTTAAGGATCCTGGCTACAGACTTGGGAGAAGGGAGCCAAAAAAAGACTACAGAACAGGTGACATGTAAGCTGATCCCTCTGCACGTGAAAAGCAGTGAGATGAGATGAGACATGATAGATTTTGTTGGCTACAGAGTTCTCACTTAGTATCACATGCCATCCTTTCAAATGTATGTGTAGAGATTTATATTGCAGTTTAATTATACAGTCAAATGGACTTATAAAGTTGACAGATGCCTTTTAACCTGCTCAAACATAAAACAAAACATCATTTTTAACTGACTTGTGCACACCACACATTCCACACTTATGTTAATGCAGATACTATGTTACCTTTAAAAGTTTATGTGTTTTCAGAACAAGGGGACCAGACACCTTTGGAAACTGGTGATCCAGGTGATCCACCCTCTCAAAGTGTCTTGGTTGTAGTTTCATCAGAGTTCTGTTTCCAGAACTCTCAAGGCTGCTGGCTGAGATGGTCCAGACTCACAGAGTACTCCAGCCAGGACTTCAGATAAGCCTTGCACTTTCCCATTGCACAGAGACTGGACAACAAATATCACAGCTAACTTTCCCAGAAATTGACGGTTATCCCAATTTCTGCAGGATCTCCTAAAGATGCCAGTGTCCCCAGACAACAGGAAGCAGTCTAGAGAACACAATGCCCACATTCCCAAGAGGTGAGTAGATGGTTTCTGATCATTCGATGGGTTATAGATGTTTGCCATCAATTATGTGTGTGTGTGTGTTGGGGGGAGTTGGTTACAGATTGTTATTGGTCATAGGAAAAAAGCTACATAAAAGAGTTAAATTCAAGGATCTCTTTCTGAAGGAAAAAGGGGGATATAGTATAAAAACGATGGTATAAACGGGTGGATTGTTGAGTCTACTTTTGAACAACCACTAGTCCCAAATATTTTACATTGCTATGGATTTTGGTATATCGATATAAATTTTAAGTTATTTGTTATACTGCATATATGTTCTATTCTTGTTTAAGGTATTGTATCTATACAGCTAATTTAAAAGTATAATATAAAGTTTTAGCCCTTAAAATCTATTTAGGATAATAAAGAAATACACTTTAATAGTTAGTCATCTATGACAATTAAACTTACAGTCATGTTAGGTATGTTTTCAAGGTTATACAGTATACTTTAGATAGGTGACCTTCAAACACTTCAAAGACCTACAGCATATGGCATTTAAAATGTTTTAACAACATAAGGCTTTCCATGACAGTGAGATACATCTGCTCCTGGCAGCACCAATTTACTTCAAAAAAGGATGATGGGCATTGAAGAACCTCCATAAGGAGTTTGCTTTCTTTATGGCAAAATCTAGCCATTTGGGCAAGAAACTGTCCTTGTCTTGACTGCTAACAGTATGCTGTCCAAACTGTACTAGCAGGACACAAAGAAAAGCAACTGCCAAGCTTTGCCAAGACAGGGTAGGACAGTCCTCCAAGAACTCCTGCTTCACAGAAAAGTCTATCAGATATTATAGACCTATATATACAGGCCTGTAGGCTGAGAATGGATGCTCTAATGTTTCAGGGAAACTTTGGTGACTGTCCAGGCAGCCAGATGTCTGTCATTTTGGAAGTGGCTTACACTATATTTCCTGTTTACTCAGGTAATATTACATCCTTCTGGGGTCTTTGATGGAGTTGAAGACTAACTAGTTATAATTTTCCTTAGTTTGATAAAAGGTAAGTTAGGTACAGAACTCTGGATTACTAATGGAATATTTTCTCTGAAAAAATTGTACTAGAAATTATGCATATAATTCTTACCTGGTAATTGTTCTTATTATATATAGTTTTTCTGTGTTAGAGTTAAACATTTTCCTTTTTATTCAGATAAAAAGGGGGAATTTTTTGTACATTGTGAAGATGTATTTTTGCCAAGGCATCTTCTTATTGGTTTAATAAAAAGCTAAACAGGCATTAACTAGGCAGAAGGTATAGGCAGGACAGACAGACACAGAGGGAGCAAGACATGCAGGAAGCCAGGTAAATGCCACAAGACACATGACAACATGTAGATGAATAGAAATGGGTTAATTTAAGTTATAAGAGCTCGCAGGCAAGCCTAAGCTATCAGGTGAGCTTTTATAATCAATAAAAGTCTCTGTGTTGTGATTTGGTAGCTGGCTGGTGGGACAGTAAAGCTCGCCTACAAAAATAGCTTGAAAAAGTTAAGGTTGATGTCACTGCAGATGTACAACAAAAGGACTTCCTACCTGAAGATTTCACTGCAAGAAATACAAAAGGACATCTGATCTCTACAGAACAATGAAGTACACCACAAATAACAAGTGAGAAAGACATGTTTTACTGCCACAATGGGAGTGTGGGACCTACCACATGAAGGCTAGATATGCTGTTCACAACCATGATAAATATGATGATAGTCTCCTCCCCCAACACCTTACATCTGGCTCAAAATGTCCAGAGTACTGATGCTGAGAAACACTACTTTAGAAAGCAGAGCATTGAGCTAAAACTACTAATAGT